AGATGGCTTTGCTACCTAATCTCCTAAGGCATTCCTACATGCTTCATCTCCAAGTGATTTCCTCCCTTTGAGGCAGCAACGGCAAACAAGGTGCGGTATGGTGGACTGGCAGGAGTGTGCAATAAGAAACCAATTCATCTAAAGATGATAAACTGCTTCCCTGGTCAAGTACTGCATTTCGACGGATTCTTTTACTAAGGTGAGCAAGCAGCTACTTATTCGGCAGATGTGAGAATGAACAAAATCCGGTTTGTGTATATCGGGCGTTCAATGGAAATCATAATTGTGGAAGGGGAAAACAATATAACATACCTCTAAGCAACGTAAAAGCATATATGTCAACTCACAGCATTCTAAAAATGTGAAAAATTTGCTGGCGACTGACTCGGGTCTTGAACGAACAATAAAGTGTTGTNCAAACATGTCTAACACCATGACGTTCACATCATGCCGGTAGCTACTTCAGTATGCTTACTGCTTCCGATTTCCGCGAAACATCGCAGATGCTTTATCGTAAAAAAAGACAGCATGAAAGAGCAGCGCGATTCCTTGAGATAAATACTGACGTACAGTAAGGGAAGGTAAAAACGGTAGATGATGTATTTTCAAATACAAGCAACTTTGTCATCATGTTGATCGTTCTGTCGAGTGTACATGTTTGAAAACTGCTCATCTACTTAGATTCGCAATTCCTGTTACACTGTGCTTAACCAGTATAGCTTCTCCCGTCGCTTACAAGGTGGGTCACCGGATCACAGTAACAATAAATAAGTTGATAGAGTCTAAGGTTAACGACTGTTTGATGTAAGTTGGAAGAAAAATCGTGTTATGCATCGCAACTGATGTGACAGAACAAACAAGCTTTTACTCTGGATAATATATGAGAAACGGACAATTGATTTCGCAAGCTGCGCATAGCCACAGACAGTAGACATGAAGGGGAAAGTTAGGCACCCGAGACATGTAGCGGGAAAATAAACTGAAAAACCACCATTACTACCAGCACCAGATCTACACAACTTTCTCTGTTTAACACGGCCGGAACATGCATAAAAGTTGAACACAACACAAATGTACAAAAATTACTCACTTCTGGATATGTTGATTGACATCTGCCCAGTCGGCCAGGTGGTGTTGATAAAGACATGCTTCCATTGCCAGCTGTTTATAACTAGTTTCGGCACGCTTCAACGCCATACGTGCCCACTGTGTGTGTTGATCCATTTGAGTAGTTGTACTAACTCGATATATATCAAAGCCACTGGCATCTGGCGCAGCTCTATCCTCCGACCATGAGGGATGCTCGTGAGAATAAGGCGATTGGGACATACGTTCTAATTTGTCTAACCATGACACAGCCAGATTTTTGGTCAATTGTAACAGAGCGAGTCGATGAGGACCGTACAGAACCTGACGGGCTAGACCTAGGGCAAAACAAGTGCGGGAGACAAACGATGAAAAACGAATTCCGTCTTGATGAGGAAACAACAGCAGGGCAAAGGTGCGCAGTCAAAGGAACGCCCTTTAGAGAGACCATCAACTGACACGATAAATAAGCCAGTGCATAAAATCCCTCAGTCTCGCATAGAAGTCAATGCAAACTGAGCGCGCCCTTGCATTGACCGCGCTACACTCTAGTGCTCGTTCGTCACGTTGGAATTAATCGCGTTTGTTCCATCAATCTCTCGATGCTAAACATGTCTAGGATCTATAATTATTCTCGTCAGGACATGCTATGACTAAAAACTGGAAATTCTGTGCCCCCCACAAGTTATTTGCTTGATGAGAGTCATAACTGTCCTTGAATCAAAAGAACGCGGATGGGCGGGATGGCAAACTTACTTGCACCCCTCGTGCCAAGATGACTGTTGTTCGCGAAGATCGCGGATTTAACTTCCAATCCGAACACAAGCATTAATTCCAACACATGTGCTGTACGTGCACAAGAAACTTGGTTGAATAAAAACTTTGAGGACGTGCTCGTGCAAATAGAAGGATTCGACTACTACAGGCAGGATAGGCAGTGAAGTAGGAAAAAACTGGAGGTGGTAATGTAACCTACATCAACGTTTCCTGGTTCGGCAAATCAGAAGTGATATAACTATTCTGAAAGACAATTTTACTGTTTGTCTGTTCGTTGTCATCCCAAAACTTCCCGTCACAAAAGTGCAACTGTCACCAATGTGTACATATCTCCCTCGTGTTCTCAGACAGAAATCTCTGCCTTCTTTGATTCCGCTTCTGGTTTCATTATTAGCTGGAAATCTTCACTTACTTGTTGGTGATTTCAATCATGCAAGCGCTTCCCCCTGCTTCCGTTTGGTCTATCTGACCTCTGTCATTCTCCTACCAGAGGTAGTTCTGTGCTGGACAGAGTGATCACAAACCATTCCAACTTATTTTCTCTCAAACTAATGGCATTGGTCCCCACCAGTGAACATTGTCTTTTTCTTGTTAAACGAAAAATATACTCTAGCGCTATGTATAGAAATTAATATGTTTTACTCAGATAGACTTTCATCTAAGGGACTTTTCACCCAGCCGAAAATCTCTTCTCACTAGTTCCGTTGCGATTGTTCAGTCTTGTCCATCTTTTTTTACATGTGCCAGTCTGTTCACTGAAACGATTCAATCGATCTTTAACTCGTGTTACCCCATGAAGACTCTGTTTTTCCGTGACGGTGGAATTACCTCAGTCTTTTTGAAACCACTGAGAAGGCACAAAAAAGGGACTACAAATCTCGCTATGCATCAGTTGTAAAGCACTATTCTGACTCAATCAGGTTTGAGATATTGCATCTGAGTGCAACCTTCGCAGCCGAAGTCTGTG